CTGGATGAATGTGTCTGAGCTGGAGCCCCTAATGACTCCCTCGACAGCAATGCCCGGCTTCTTCCAGATATGCCGAAACCCTAAACCCTAAACCCTAAACCCTAAACCCTAAACCCTAAACCCTAAACGCCAAGCCCTAAACCCTAAACCCTAAACTCTAAACCCTAAACCCTAAGCCCTAACCCCAAACCCCTAAACCCTAAGCCCTAAACCCTAAACCCTAAGCCCGAAGGGCTAAACCGAGTCTCCCAGAGAGCGCAGGCGCGGCCCCGGTCTGAGTCGGGATCCAGGGCTTCCAGCTCAGACCTTAGGGTTTAGGGTTTAGGGTTTAGGGTTTGGGGCTTAGGGTTTAGGGTTTAGGGTTAGGGTTTAGGGCTTAGGGTTTAGGGTTTAGGGTTTAGGGGGGGACGATAGGCCTCGTGGCTGTTCATTCCTAATTTGATTAACAAGTATGAATGATGATGATGATGATGATGATGGGTATGATTACTTAGTAACTTGTGAGTATGACTATAACGAATATACTTTTTGCCAAGTATTGTAATATTTATTGTTGTTGTTGCTGTTGTTGTTATCGCTACGGCTATGCATAACAATATGAAGTCTTTACAGAAGGGTAACTGACAAAGTCATGACCGCCATGGGGAACCCTATACAATGCTACTCTCAATACGGCAGCCTATAGTTTGGGAACCCCACAAGGAACCCTGATTTGGCCAACCATCCAGATGAGTGATAAACCGTAATTTATAGGGACCTTAATGATTAGAATAGGGTTGGGGGGGGGGTATGTTATACTACATTCTTAATAAGTAACCCCCAAAATAGTGTAGGTAATTCTTTTAGGCCCCTGCATTACCTTGTTCTCTGGGGAGCTGGGAGATTTGTTGATTGAAGGATCCCGAAGTGCCTGAACCAGGCACTTGCTAAGGAGCTTTAGGGGTTTAGGGTTTAGGGTTTAGGGTTTAGAGTTTAGGGTTTAGGCTTCATAACTTATACTAAACCCCCAAGAAGTTGGAAATTGGAGTAAGGGCAATTAGTGATGGGATTCCCTGTGCTCATCAGGATGGAGGCTATTGGGTTTCCAACTTTGAAGCTTCTCTACTATAACCTTTCATAACCAAGAAGACCCAATCATCTACTTACCATAATGCTTGCTATAGATCCCTACTACAGGTTACCATGATATGGGTTAGCGATCCCTAATGTTCGCTGTAGGTCCCTGCTATAAGTGACCATCATATGGGTTAATTACCAAGACTGTCTGGTGCTTAGTAGGGAATGGGGTAATGGATCCCTATGATAGTCCCTTAAGGTGGCTTATAGTAGTCCCTGTAACCCATTCCCCCATTCCCTACTCAGCACCAGACAGAAGAGCTCACCCTAGACCCTAAACCCTAAACCCTAAACCCTAAACCAATCTGAAACTCATCCGGGAGTCTCCAGGTTCGTCTGTAGGGGTGCTCGGAACTAACGGTCGAGGGTTGAGGGCTTACCTTAACCCTAAATAACCTACCTTTTTAAGGACTAATATAAGGACTTCATATTAAGGAACCCTAAAAAAGTATATAGGTTCTTCAGGGTCCAGGTAGGGCTAAAGAGAAGGGGCTTTGGGTTTTTAGGGGTTTATTGTTTACCATAGTTGAAGGCTTGAGGTTGAAGCGTCAATCGGCCTAGGGTTGACGGTTACCTTGCTTAGTGTGGACCAAAAGGTGGTGCAAGCTCAGCCGCTGCGAAAGATGTGGATCTGGAATGAAGCGGCAGTCTGGGATGCCATTCCAGCCTGCTTTTCGCGGTTAGGGCTTGAGGAAGTTGAGCATGAACGTCTCAGGACGTGAAGCCAGCAAGCATGACCCAAACAAACTGTTGTACATGCGGAGTACGTGCCTTCAGGGGTCCAGCTGCCGCCCAAGATAGTGTTCTCCACAGCGACTACCTCGGTAACAAGAGCGGGCTTCATCGGGCTGCTGAGCCTTGGTGGGCCAGCCATGTCTATTCGGTAACAGGAAGCTCATACCCAGAGAACCCAGTACACTGTACACCTTGATTCAGGAATATACCTTCATTTATCGGGGCCGTAATATTATGATTTAGGTATATTTATTCCTCATCAAGTGTTGGGGCTCTCTGGGACAATGAGGTACGCCTAACGACAAGCACAGGTTGCCACTCAAGCGCTTTACGTGGCGCGCTGACATCAGCATGCTTAACAGAACAGCCTCGCACAAAAGCGCCAGAGCCACGCTGGCCTTACTGAATGAAGTTAATCCGAGCACCTGATTAATAGGGGGGGGCCCCCCCCCCCCAAAAAAAAAA